GAGAGAGAGACGGAAAGAGAGAGAGAAAAAGAGAGAGAGAGAGAGAGAGAGAGAGAGAGAGAGAGAGAGAGAGAGAGAGACAGAGAGAGAGAGACAGAGAAACAGAAACAGAGACAGAGAGCGAGAAAACTCAAATAAAAGTGTCCAAAGATATAAAATTTAAGCATTTTATCATAAACTCATTCAAGTGTCATCAGCATCTATGAAATGAACAAATATGAAAGCACGCATTCCTGCTCGTCATCCCACCCCACGTCCCCGTTCTCCCTCCCACTGTAGCTCCTCCCTCTCTTACTATTCTCATTCGAACAGCAGCTAATGCATCGGCGACCACAAAGAAAAACCACACTATTCATCTACATCATCCTGCCCACGAAGCTGCCTTCTCCTTTCTTCCATTGTGAACTTCTCGTCATCATCAACAACAACATCTCCATGGAGATAAAGGTTTGTCGTGTTGTCACACGTAGTTGTAACAAATGTCAAATCATTTATCTTTCTATACTCCCTTTTTGTTAAATGGCTTAGGCGGCCACACTTTGGATATCTACGCCTCAGAGCTTCAACCAATGCAAGCACCACCTCATGCAATCTCGTCTCCTTCATAACCCGCACCGGCGAATGAGCAGCAATGATATTTGCTAACAAAATTCTGAGGCTATACAACTGTTCCTTGTCACTCGTCATAATGTCCTGCTTTAGTCCCTCACCGCACTGATCCGAGAAACTATGTTCAAACACAGCGTCCATTAACTATTGTCGTGCATCCTTGTACAATTGTCCGAGAGTAACAATTGTCGCTCTCAACTGGGTATCACTTACCGGAAAGCTCATTGTATTTTGCATCTCAAAAAGCGCATTTCTATGTGCAAGCTCCACACCAACTGTTCGCAATGTTTGCAACATACCAATCAAACAATTTTTCGGAAGCTCTTCTAAAGTTCGACCTGTTGGAAGCTCAAACACCTCTGATGCAAAAAAAGGATCAATCGATGGCAAGGCACCTGCCGACAACAATTTTCTCAATCCACTCTTGACTGTTGCACAGCGTAGACGCAAATACTCACACTCTTGGGACACATGCGGATCAACTTTAATACTAAGCTCAGCAACTTGGTTAAGCAAGTCATTACTAATGGAGGATTGAAGTAAAGACGTAAGTTGGTTGGCAATGTCCTCGCCAACATTCTCCTCCTTCTTCGCATCCACACTACCGGACAAAGACCAATCTTTTATCTCTTCACTTTGTTTCCTTTCCAGGAAACTTTCAAGCACTGATCGTGCATTCACCTCAATTTTTGCGAATGCACTCCTCAGGGCAGTCACTTCCACCTCCTTCTTCTTCAACATCCCAAGCAACTCATCCTGAGTCCACCGAAGATCTTCATTGTCAGTCATATAGCGTCCGCATTCTCCTTTCAATGCAGAATCGTTCGGAACCTTACCTGCAATACCATAAGGCACTTTAGACTCACGCTGAAGCAGACGCTGTTCCATGTCATGAATTTGCGAAGCCATGCCATACTCGTATCGTTCACTACATTCCTCAAGGTATTTCCTCTTCGTGCGAGCATCGGCGAGCCATTTGCCGAATACACCATCCCCATCACTACGTGCCCGAATTTGCCTCAGCACATTGGACCATGATATTCCTTCAACCGGCCTATCTACCTGGCTGTCGACCACCACATTCATTTGAGTAGATCCTTGTCCATCTGCTGAGACCACCATGAAAAAACAATCAACTAATTAATCGATCAAATTTATTGATTGATCGAAAAGAACAGAGAGAGAGAGAGAGAGAGAAAAAAAAAAAAAAGAGGGACAGAGAAAGAAAAAATGATTGATTGATTCATTGATTGATCGATCAATGGATTAATTGTTCAATTGAGCAAGAAAAAAAGGCTCCGTTGTGTCAAATTCGTCCAACAAATGTTGACGCCTCGATTTCGAATTAGAAGTGGGTGTATGCGTCGAGGCAAGAAAAGGCTCCATCGTGCCGACTCCGTCAAACCCTCAATTTCGAATTAGGAAAAAAAAAAAAAAAAACAGTAAGCACGTAACCCCGTCCTACACCGAAACCCAACAAGCAGCTTAGGCCCGGTCATGCACCGTACACCCCACAGTGCACGCCCAGTCTCGGTATATTCACGGCTTGGCATAAGTATGCCGACAAACGACCCATGGTCGACGGGGTGGTTCGGGTGATGAGGATTACAAAGTTTGTCATGTGATAGCCTTTCTAATCAATCAATCAGTCAATCAATCAATCAATCAATCAATCAATCAATCAATTCATTGATTCATTAATTGATCGATTGATGGATCAATTGATTGAAAGATTAATTGATTAATGGATCGATTGAAACATGAATCAATTAATTGATCGATCGATCGATCGATAGCTTGGGTGTATTCACGGCCTGGCCTTTTAAACCACTAGTGCTGCCGTACCTGCATCGACGCACCACTAGTGCTATTGTACACCCACAGTGCAGACCCGGTCTGGGTGTATTCACGGCCTGGCCTTTGAAACCACCAGTGCTTGGCCCAGCTATCGATGCCGAGTCTGAATATGCCCTGCCCGCTGATTTTGGCCGAACCTGTGTGTGTGTGTGTGTGTGTGTGTGTCTGTGTGTGTGTGTGTGCGTGCGTGCAGTGGTTTCACCAGACACTTCTCTGTCTGCAATATGCACCAGGGCCTAATTGCAATATTCGCGTGGGCCGGGCTTTGAGATGCAATATGGCGGTCTAATAAGCTTATTCAGCTGGCCGCATACTTGGGGCAGGGTCGAGTACGGCCGTGTCCTTGCACCCCTATTCCTCACGGCTTCCACGTGGGCCCGGACTCCCCACAAAAAAAAAAAAAAAAGGTTACCGCGTGTGGCACGGCCCAGGTCATGCCATAAACCCAACCAAAGTCCAGGCTCAGGTCCAGGCTCAGGTCCAGACCCAGGTCCAGCCTCAGGTCCAAACTCAGGTCCAGGCTGAGGAGGCGGCTCAACCTGAGAACAGGCGAAGGTATAGGGTCACGTCCATGCTGAGCTCCAGACCGAGGTCCATTCTGAGGTCCAGACCCAGGTCTAGGCTCAGGTCCAGGCGCAGGTATAGCGTCACGTCCATGTTGAGGTCCAGCCCCACGTCCAGGCTCAGGTCCAGGCTAACGAGCCGGCTCAACCTGAGAACAGGCGCAGGTATAGGGTCACATCCATGCTGAGGTCCAGACTCGGGTCCAGGCTCAGGTCCAGGCCCAGATCCAGGCTCAGGTCCAAGCCCAGGTCCAAAACCAGAAAGAGAAAAAAAAAAAACAGCTCCGATCCAGGTCTACTCCGGGCGCAGACTGAGTCCACGCATAGTCTCGGTCCAGGTCTGGCGTGCATGTACGGGTCCAGGTCCGGGTAAAAAAAAAAAAAGAAAAAAAAAGAAGGAACGAAATGGGTCCGGGCCTACTCTGGGTCTATGCACAGGTCCAGCCCGGGCTTTCAGAAAAGCGCCACATCGTGGCGTACACCGAGGTAAACCTGAGAAAACGACCAAGTCCACTCTCAGGTGCAGGTCCAGGCTCAGGTCGTGCAAAAAAAAAAAGAAGGTTACCGCGTGTGGCGCGGCCCAGGTCATGCCATAAACCCAATCAAAGCTCAGGCTCAGGTCCAGGCTCAGGTCCAGGCTCAGGTCCAGACCCAGGTCCAGCCTCAGGTCCAAGCTCAGGTCCAAGCTGAGGAGGCGGCTCAGCCTGATTTCGAAGGCGGCTCAGGTCCAGGCTTAGGCATATACCAAACACCCAGCATTTAGGCCCAGTCTGGGCTTATGTACGGGTCCAAGCCTGGGATTTGAATTTAGGAAAAAAAAAAAAAAAAAAAACAGCAAGAAAAAGGCTTCGGGCCTATACCTGGACCTGGCCAGCGGCTTATGCCTGGCCCTAGACCAAACACCCAGTCTGGGCCTATGCACAGCCTGGCTTTTGAAAGGGGAAGAAAAAAAAAAAAAAAAAAAAGCACAAAAAAGGCTCCCAGCCTGCACCTGGCCTCGGTCAGCTGCTTAGCCCTGGGCCTGGACCCAACACCAAGATTCAGGCCCAGTTTGTGCCTATGCACAGGTCCAGGCCCTGACTTTGAATTTAAGTAAAAAAAAAAAAAAAAACCAGCAAGAAAAAGGCTTCGGGCCTATACCTGGACCCGGCCAGCGGCTCAGGTCTGGGCCTGGACCGAACACCCAGTCTCGGCCTGTGCAAAGCCTGGCCTTTGAAAGGAAACGAAAAACAAAAAAAAGACAAAAATGGCTCCCAGGTCCAGAACCAGAAAAAAAAAAAAAAAACAGCTCCCAGGTCCAAGCCCAGGTCCAGAACCTAGTCCAAGGTCCAAGCCCAGGTCCAGAACCAGAAAAAAGGCTCCCAGGTCCAAGCCCAGGTCCAGAACCAGAAAGAAAAAAAAGAAACAGCTCCGGTCCAGGTCTACTCCGGGCCCAGACTGAGGTCCACGCATAGTCTCGGTCCAGGTCTGGCGTGCATGTACGGGTCCAGGTCCGGGTCAAAAAAAAAAAAGGTAAAAAAAAAAGGAACGAAACGGGTCCGGGCCTACTCTGGGTCTATGCACAGGTCCAGCCCGGGCTTTCAGAAAAGAGCCACATCATGGCGTACACCGAGGTAAACCTGAGAAAACGACCAAGTCCACTCTCAGGTGCAGGTCCAGGCTCAGGTCGTGCAAAAAAAAAAAAAAAGGTTACCGCGTGTGGCGCGGCCGAGCTCATGCCATAAACCCAACCAAAGTCTAGGCTCAGGTCCAGGCTCAGGTCCAGACCCAGGTCCAGCCTCAGCTCCAGACTCAGGTCTAGGCTCAGGTCCAAGCTCAGGTCCAGGCTGAGGAGGCGGCTCAACCTGATTTCGAAGGCGGCTCAGGTCCAGGCTTAGGCATAGACCAAACACCTAGCATTTAAGCCCAGTCTGGGCCTATGTACGGGTCCAGGCCTGGGCTTTGAATTTAGGGGGCGGGGGGGGGGGGGNGGGAAACAACAAGAAAAAGGCTTCGGGCCTATACCTGGACCTGGCCAGCGGCTTATGCCTGGGCCTGGACCAAACACCCAGTCTGGGCCTATGCACAGCCCGGCTTTTGAAAGGGGAAGAAAAAAAAAAAAAAAAAAGCAAAAAAAAGGCTCCCAGCCTGCACCTGGCCTCGGTCAGCTACTTAGCCCTGGGCCTGGACCCAACACCCAAGATTCAGGCCCAGTTTGTGCCAGGCCCGGACTTTGAATTTAAGTAAAAAAAAAAAAAAAAACCAGCAAGAAAAAGGGCCGGACTTTGAATTTAAGCGATCAAACAGACCGACCGACAAACAGACCGACAAACTGACAGACAGACAAAGAGAAAAAAAACAGACCGACAGACAGAGAACCTGCCTGCCTGTATGTGTGTCTGCCTGCCTCTCTGCCGATGTGGCTGCCTGTCTGCCTGCCTGCCTGCCTCATCATAGGTTCATGGCAGGTGAACTTTGAATTAGAAAAAAAAAAGAAAAAAAGAAAAAAAAAGAAAAAAAAAAACAGCAAGCACATAGCCCCCTCCTACACCCCGACCCGGCGAGCAGCTGAGGCCTGAGTCTGGACCTAACACCCATGCTGCAGCCCACTACAGGACCAGGTCAACATCATACTGACTCTACACTGACGTTTTCGTGGAGCTATACTGACGTTGACCTTACGCTATACTGATGTATGGTCCCAGGTCAACGTCACTATAGCGCTAGACAAACGTCAGTATAGCATCAACATAAGGTCACGTCAACGTCACAAACAGATAGATTGATTGGTATTGGACCCAACACCCACACTCCATACGTACTTTGGGCCAAGGTAAACTCGAGACCAGGGTCAGGTCCACACTGATGTCAACATTGGTCCCGGCCCGGGCCCAGGATCAAGTCAACGTTCATACAGCCTAAGCCCCAGGCCAGGTCAACGTTTATTATTGTATAAAACGTTGACCAAGCCCCGAATGGAGCATGCGAAAGTGCAATTTGTGCACTCTGCCGCTCCATAGCCTCTCCATCACTCTGCCACTCTCTGTCTATTTCCTACACTTTTCTTTCTCTCTCTCTCTCTCTCTCACACACACACACACACACACACGCACACACGCACACACGCACACACACACATTCATTCTATCTTGCTCAGTGTATCACGATGGTGCGTGGCAAAGCCATGAGCTCGAGCAGCAACACGAGCGGCGGCACGAGCTCGAGGAGGAACAACACCGGCCCTCAAGGAGGGTCCATAAACCCATTCAGCATAAGATGGCCCAACGGCAGCCTGTTCGATAGGAGGGATGTCGTCAATGGGGTGCAGTGCACACATGGCAGATTTACCTGGCAGCTACTGTGGCGGACGTGCAGGAGGCACGTGCGGAGATGGTGTGAGAGAGGAAGAGAGAGAGGAGATGGACATACACGAGAAGCAGCAGCTGAGTGAAAGTCCAGTCCGGCTCCACAAAAGAATGAACAACTGAATGACTGAACCTCCCGCCCTGAACCTAGGCCAAAGTGATATACCAGCCTAGGTCCAGGTACGGGATAACCTGGTACCGGACAAGGGTCAGGCCGACGGCCTAAAACTGGTCCGGCCTCACTGCCGGGCCGTAGGGGTACCGCTACACAATCCTCGGACCTGTGAATGGATCAAGCGTACATCAAACACGCTATCCGTTGAAATAACGGAACCCCAAAAGCACGGCGAAAGAAACAATCCTAGATGCGGAGCAGGCTCCATGCAGGAAAAGGGATGCAATGCAGGCTAAGCCTCAAGCCTAATCTATACCATAATGTCTGGTCTGTGTCGACCCAAAAAGTAGAAAAATGTCTGACCTGTGTCGGCCAAGAAAAAGAAAAATGTCTGACCTGTGTCGGCCAAGAAAGAGAAAAATGTCTGACCTGTGTCAGCCAAGAAAGAGAAAAATGTCTCATAAGCCAAATAGGCTGAATATAAATCAACACCGGGGCCCTAAAGGTCAAGGAATAACTAAACCAATGTCCTAAGGCGAAAACGAATATGGCACAGTCTCACGTGCCCTGTACACAATGCACAATACCTGAGAAAAGAGAAAGGGACTCAGTCGCATGGCAGAAGTAGGAATGGGTGGGAAGGCGGCAGGTACAGCTCTCAGAGTAAACTCCAAGGGGGCACCCACACAACCAGGTAAGGGGTCATCAGGCTCAGAGGGGGAGTAACAGCACGACACCGGGCTCAATGGAAACCATCAAACGGGTACCGCCAGCTGAAAGGGTGGAAAGGCACTCACACAAGGGAGCACACATAAGGTGAGCCTGGAAGGAGAGAGGGTTATGCCGGCATAGACATGTAGCCAGAAGCCGCGAGCAAGGAAAACGTACACTCCAGAGGAGGGCGCGCAGCATAAGGTAAGGCAGAAAGGCGGCAAGCGGACACACCCACATAGACAGGGAAAATAGGGGTCATCATGCGACTGAAGGGTAAGCTCGAGGGTGGTAGATAGGTAGGAATGATGGGAACTCTGTAGCTGAAAAAGTGAAGTAGTCCACTGATGAGTYKCGAGGCTGAARTCGAACYGAAGTARCCTGGATGAAGTAGGAGTACTGCAAAAACCGAATAGAAGTCCGGAGCAATGCGACAGGTACTCTGGTACTGAGGAGCAGCAATGAGGTCGAAAGTCAAATGTAGAAGCCGAATGTAAAAGCCGAATATAGAAGCCGAATGTAGAAGCCGTAGAAGCCGAAACCGGGAGCTGCTGCATAAGTGTCCAAGAATGGTAAAAGATAGAGAGTGTATGGGGGATATAGATCAGTCACGAAAACGAGAAGGAAGTCGATGGGTACGCTGGGGGCGAGAGGAATGAACTGCAACAACAGGCGGAACCACATCCAGAGGGGGAGGAGAACCTGAGGCGGGTACCGGTGGAGCAGGAGGACCCATCGATGGAGTAGGGGGAATGTTAGTGGTCGCAGAGGTAGAAGGGTCAGTAGTAGAAGGATGAGAAGTAGGGGGGGAGGATGATGAAGGGAAAGGATGAGCACGATCGTAAGCACGCACGAAAGTCATAGCATGCTTCAGGTGCTCAAGAGGCTCCCAAGTAGACTCCTCGTCAGGATAACCCTTCCATCGAACGAGATACTCGAGGCGGGGAGGGTCACCATTTGTCATACGTCGGGACGCAATATCAGAGACGACAAACTCCTCGTGACCCTCAATGATGATGGGAGAGGGGCGAGGGTAAGGTCGACCATGGAACTCGGGGGGAGACCGTCTGAAGGGGCGCAAAAGAGATACATGGAACACATCATGTAAGTTAGGGCGGTACATGGAATCGGGGAACTTCAATTTGAAGCTCACCGGACAGTCATGATTGGGTCCGGCAGGTGCAAGAATGGTGCATGGTCCAATGTATCGACGTTTGAATTTCCGAAGTGTGTCAGCTTCGGGCTGGAAGTGACGTGCGTCGACAAGAACCTCGTCGCCAACTTTGAAGGGATGGTTGATGCGAGAGCGGTTAGCGCGAGTGGCCATGCGAGTCTGGGAGTTAGCAATGCTCTCGCGAGCCTTGCTAAGGAGCGCATCCATCTCCTTTACCCAGTCATCGAGGGCAGGGCATTTGGTGTCGGGATGGATCTGAGATGGACGAAGAAGGTCAGATGGGATACGGGGATGGTATCCCAAGTCACAGTAGTAGGGAGACATGCCAGTGACAGGAGAAATAGCATGGTTATAAGCAATCTTTGCGTGAGCAAGATGAAGATCCCAATCATAATCATTATCAACAAACTTCTTGAGGATACTCCTAAGAGTTTTGTTCGTGACCTTGGTCTGTCCATCTGACTGGGGGTGATAGGAGGAGGAGAGGCGGAGCTCGGAGCCATAGATCTCATGGAGTCCACGCCAGAAATGGGAAGTGAAGCGGGGATCGCGATCAGAGATGATGCTAGTGGGGAGACCGTGATGGATGGCAATACGGTTGAAGTATAGGGAGGCGATGTCTTTGGCTGAACTAGCATACTTGCAAGGGAGAAAGTGAGCATGCTTAGTCAACCGACAGACAACGACGAAGATGGCATCGTGGCCTCGTGGGGTAGGGGGACGAAGAGGACCAATGAAGTCCATGGAGACAGAAGTCAAACGCTGAGTAGGAATGGGTAAGGGATGAAGAAGACCATAGGGGGGGTGGTTGGGAATGTTGGCCTCCTGGCAGATCCTGCAGGTGCGAACGTACTCATTAGTGAAAGGATGACGGTGCTCCAAGTAGTAATGGTGGTAGAGGCGGTCAAGTGTCTTGAAGACACCGAGATGACCGGCGGCGCGCTGGTCGTGACACTCAGCTACAGCCCGAACGCGGAGCTGGCCAGTAGAGGGCACACATAAGCGAGGAGTACGGTTACCTTGGCGACCAAGCCAGTATAGGAGTCCAGAGGGATCGAGCTGGAAGTTAGGGACGGACTTGCCAGCCTGTAGGTCAGCGTAGATGGACTGAAACTCAGGGCACTGGGTGTACGCGCGGCGATACTCATCCAGAAAGGCGGGGTGGATGGTGGAGGCTGAGATAGCAGATAGCTGACGATCTTCGCACTGAAGGTCGGGGCGGCGGGATAAGGCATCTGCAACACGATTGCTTTCGCCAGAAATCTTCTTAATGGTGAAGTCGAACTCCGAGAGGTCACACCACCAACGAGCCTGGCGAGAAGTGAGCTTAGGCTTCGTCTGGAAGGCGGCGAGAACAGAGTTGTCCGTCAAAACGGTGAAAGTATGACCGTGCAAATGATGACGCCACTTCTTAACAGCGTAGACCAGTGCAAGGACCTCACGCTCATCGGCAATGTAGTTACGTTCAGCGGGAAGTAGCTGTCGAGATAGATAAGCAACCGGACACTCTCCATCGTGAGACTCGATTGTACCGTCATCAGCGACGTCAAGAATATAAGGGGGTGGGGCCCCTGGGGGGGTGGGCTCGATGGGTGCAAGATGAGCCGCAGTCGCTGGAGGTGGAGGAGGGAAACGAGGAATGCGAGGGAGGCGAGACTCTGTGGAATCGGAAGAAGTAGAGGGGGCTGGATAGATCTGGGAGAGAACAGCTCYAATAGCGAAGTCAGATACGTCGGTGGTGACGATGAATGGACGCGAGTAGTCAGGTAAGTGTAAGACAGGAGCTGACGTGACAAGCCGCTTGAGAGAGCGGAAAGCATCCTCGTAAGCCGGGGTCCAATGAAAAGGTAGACGTCCACGGGTCAGGGAGGTAAGCTGGGAAGAATACTGCGCGTAGTTTTTAAGAAAATGACCAGAGTAGTTGGTCAACCCAAGAAAACTACGGAGCGCAGGAAGAGAGGTAGGAGTGGGCCAGTCGACAATGGCCTGAATCTTCGAGTCGTCCATGTGGAGTCCGTGCTCGGAGACCTGATGCCCAAGGAAGTCGACTTTGGGTTGAGCGAAGTGGCATTTTGAGAGCTTCGCATAAAACCCATGGTCGCGTAATCGCTGGAGGACAGTGCGRAGGTGGGTCAGATGCTCCTCTAAGGTACGACTGTAGACCAGGATGTCGTCGATGTAGACTAGAACCGAGTCCTCAAGAAGGTTTTGGAACATCGTGTTCATAGCCGTTTGGAAGGTGGCAGGGGCATTACGGAGACCGAAAGGCATGACGGTAAGCTCGTAGTGCCTAAAACGAGAACGGAAAGCGGTCTTAGGCTGGTCCTTCTCGGCTACGCGGATATGGTGATATCCGCTACGAAGATCGATCTTCGTGAAGAAGCGGTGGCCTGAGAGGCGGTTGAACAGATCATCCGCACGAGGCATAGGGTAACTGTTTCTGACCATATACTCGTTGAGACCGCRGTAATCGAGGCAGAGGCGGAGAGTGCCATCCTTCTTGCGATCGAAGAGGACAAATGCACTCCATGGGGACATACTCGGTTTAATGAAGCCCTGACRAAGTAGCTCGTCAATTTGGCGTTTAAGTTCCTGGGCTTCGGGGACCGAGAGGCAATATGGGGCACGATGCTGAATACGGTAGTTAGGTTCGAGACGGATGTGGTGCTCGATATCGCGCATAGGAGGAATGCTGCTATAAGAGACGGTCGGAGGAAAAACATCGCGATACTCGCGAAGGAGAGCCGCAACGCTAGGCTGCAAAGTCGATAGGAGGTTGTCAAACTCCTCGGCTGCAGCGGCGTCTGAAGCAGGGGTGGAAGGAGTCGGTATGGGAATAGGTACCGATGGCGCCTCCGTGGAACAAGATGCAAGAAGGTGAGATGAGGTAGCAGGGGTGGAGAGGGTTGAGGGGGCTGAAGGATCAGGATGCTCGGGAGGCTCATGGAGTGGTGGGTCGAGCTCGACCAACTCAGCGTCCTGATGCATAGAGTTACAGACAAGGAGATCCGTGATGTCGACAATGTAGAGTTCGGCATCAGGCTGACGAAGGATGTGGTGGAACTGAGTTGGTGTCAAGATGGCAACATTGACAGGAGAGGGGGGTGTAGAGTCCGATTTGCCCAACAACGGAATACGRTACWRCTTCCCATCCTTGGTGTCGAGGACGAGGTCATTGTGGGTCCAATCGGGGCCAGCATGGGCGAACTGATGGGAGTAGGCAGTGCCGAGAACAAGATCATATAGGGTTTCCATGACGTTGAAGGTCCACTGGTCATGGAACCGAGGGGCCTTGCAAAGGCTGTGGGGCATCCGCAAGGGGAAGGAGAATGAAAGATCAGGCACCATTGAATCGACGAATGATTTGGCCTGATTGTCGCCAAGCGTGACAGTGACAGTGGAAGTGTAGGCGGATGTATAGAGAGATGCCTCCTTAACTACGCGAGGATGAATGAAGTTGCCAGTAGAGCCAGAGTCCCATAGTGCGCAATACACTCTAGTAGAGGTCCCAAGGCGCACTGGAATAACCGGTAAGGTGCGGTCGGGGTTGTGTAGGCGCTGAGACATTGCGGACAGGTGCGCTCTTAAGGCGGAGACGTTCCTGGTGGACCTTAACACACTCAAGGTCCAGGACGTCAATGATATCCTCGGGTGCAATGAGGGAAGCACTGCAGCGCGCTGTGCGAAGAGCACGCCTAGTAGGAGGACGAGGCGGAGGAGGATCATGAGAGATGCTAGGTGAAGAAGTGGAGGCACTGGGGAGTGGGTCAACGACGCTAGAAGCGACGAACGGTGAAGTCAGGTCTGAGTCCTCAGAAAGAGTAGCAAGCGACGCGAAGGTAGAATCGCGGGCGGGTATGCCTGCTACTGTGGGAGCATCAGCGGGGCGGGAGATCGCCGCTAGGTGGCTGTGGAGCTGGAGGTCGAGACGGGGGGGTCAGGCTGAGGGCGGGACTGCTGAGCAAAGTGACACTGGAGGGCGTCGGCGTAGGGGCAGGTGGACGAAGTGTGACCAGGTAGGCGACAACGGGTACATATACCTCATGCCCGGAAGTCCTCACTCTCCGTGATAGTCAATCAAGCGTGGGGGAAGGCGTAGCCCGATGGGAGGGGTAGCTGCGTGGCGGAAGAGCGAGTCCTGGAGGATGAGGGCTGGCGTCGGAAGTGGGCGGAAAGGGCCCGGACAAGACGGTCGTCATGGGGAGAGACATCGTCCTCCGTGGGTGACTGAGGGTCGGGTCCCTGATCTGGGTCACTCGCAGAATCATCTGAGGCAGTGCCATCATCAATGCTCGATGGGTCACGAAACAGCGTATGCAAGCGACGAGAGAGGGATCGTCCAGAGCCTCTACGGGGGCCACGGCGGTATGTAGAGGACTGTTGAGGCTGGGAGGGGCGAGAGGCTGCAGTAGTGGCAGAGTGCACAACAGCGGGCTGAGACGCGGGGCCAACTAGTGGTGCATAAGTGAGATGAATGGCCCGAGCAATGTTGAAAGCCTCAGGCAAGGTGGGGATCGAATACGCCAGCATGTGCAACTGGAATGGCTGGGGTAAGCCTGCCCGGAATTGCTGGATCATGGCGTCCTCAGATATGGTTGTGATGGGAATTTGGGCGCATACACGGTGGAATGTCGTGATGTATGACTCTAAGGCATTGTCGCCACCAAGCCATCTGATCTCAGCCACACGAATAATCGGGTCGCGGGTGGGCGCAGGGCGAGAGAAGTACTGCTGAAGGAAGTCACGAAACTCGGGGTAAGACATGCCCTCATGTACGCCGCGCTGTGAGCGAAGGGCGAGGAAGTCGCGCCAGGTGGAGGCTGCACGACCTGTAAAGCGAGAGGACATCTCGACGGGCCACAGTTCCATGGCAACACCATGGTAGCGAATCTGCTCCTCAGAAGTAGTGATCCATTCTTGGAGCTCGGAGGACCTGCCGTCAAACTGTGGGAGGTGGTCCTGTCGAAACTGTGGAACATACGTTGGTGGCTGGTAATGGGTAGGGAGAGGGAGAGCCGATTATGACAAGAGGACAGAAGACGTAGTGGCACCAGCAGAACCACTAGAAAGAGCGGGGAGTCGGGGCAAAGGTCCCTGACACATCGTGGTGGCTGGTGGTGGGAGTGAGAAATGCATTGCAGCGGCCTGTGTCTGATGCTGTCGATAGATGAAAGGGGCAGCAGGCTGTGCCGCGAGGTGGGGAGGTAGGGGTTGACCTCTTTGGAGTAGGCGGATGTGATCATGGGCCAGGGTGAGCTGGCGTTGGAGCTCGACATTCTGTGTCTTGGGTGTGCGGGGGGGTGGGGGGAGGGGGGAAGAAGCGGGAGGTGATGAGGGAGGTGCCGTGGAGACTACCGTCGAGGAGGTGGCAGGGCATGATGCCATGGGTCCTGAGGAGGGGGGTGCAGGGGTATATACCTGAGATGCAGAGATGGCTGCAGAGGAGGGGTGGGAATGGGATGAGGACATACAGCCAGTGGAAGAAGCAAGTGTGTAGATGACGCCTGCCAGATGAGGGGGGTGGGGGGGAGGATGCACTGGGACGGGGCTCCAAATGTGACACACGGTCCGACAGGGATGAAAGGTCGGTATGGAGGGCCGTGATTTCGGTCTGCATCTGCTGGAGGAGGGCCACTACCGGGTCTGACTGGGTGGTGGGGCCCGAACTGGTTGCCATAGGGGTGGGCATTGAGTCRGATGTAGGCTCGTGAGCTAGGAACGCAAGTCCTTCGCTGGTGGAGCGGGAGGGGCTCGCAAATTCGGTAGTCTGCATGTGGTCAAGGGATGGGGAAGGTGAGGGGGGAG